AAGTATAGTAGGGAGAGTCTGGCGCTTAGAGCCCAGTGGAGCCAGATTGGCCAGGAAAGGCTAGTTGGGCCCAGGAAGGCTATACCCAGTGTTGGGTGATGAACTGACCACTGGGAAGTCTAAGACTAGAGTGAATACTGACCGACAAGCAGGGTAATTTGGTGAAGTGTTCAAGAGCCGGCTCTAGTTCCCCCGGGAGATCGAATGGTCGAGGCTCCCAATCCAAGTGTGGGTGGCACTACCTACTTGGATATTTGGCGTGGCTCAACGGAACCTCGCTCTAAGCCCATGGCTAGAGCACCCAAAGGCAGAAGGCGGGGAGAGTACCCACGAGGCTCGCATAAAGCCACGGTGTTCCAAAATGTTGCCCCAAAGTCCCAGGCTGCTGTCCTCTAGGGTAGAGACCAAGGATACGGTCATGTGAGGAGGAAGTCCAAGAGGACTGTAGGACTTAGTGGTCGGGCTTGTGGGCCTTGATCTAGTGGTAGTGTTGGCGAACACAGTTATGTGCAAAAAGGGACTTGGTGGGGACCGAAAAAGGGATATTGGGGAAGGCCATTCCCCATGTCTACAGGCATTCTAAGGATGCTAAGGAGAGGATTTGGGATGATCACTTATGGACAAATGGCCCAGTCTTTGAGAGACGGGGTTGTGAGGTAGGTGGTGTCAGACCACTAGTGTGACCAAGGTGAATGGGCATAACCTTAGCATAATGGGTTGATATGTCGGTGGTACCTTGGGGTATCGGTTATGGGACCGGACATGTGGAGCACTTGGACCAAGTGCAAAGGATGAGTGGCATGGATGCTATTCTCGGGGCTAGTAAGTCCCAAGTCCTGAATTGGACTTAAGGAGGTTGTGAATAAGATTACTCCAAGTGGTCGAAGATGTGGTTAAGTGACTAAAGTAGAATGGAAAAATTAGTCATTAACACCTCGTCTTCAATCTCAACTTTACTAGATACTAGCTAAAGCTACAACCAAATTTGTAGAATTCCAAACTTGAGCTTACACTTATTGTAATATTCCAACAGTATTTTGTACTTTGATCGATCTGCTTTAAAGAAAAGTTCTTTACCCACCTTTTCAACATGTCCAATTGTTGTTTCCACCATCTTGATGTTTATCACCTTTTTCCTCCACCAAACTTGAAATGGCTCATTAGTAGTTGAGATTGAAGAGTTTTCAACTTTAGACGTTTTGCTAGCTACTCTTAACTCCTTGAATGTTGCTAGCTTGTATGAATTTGGAATTTATGCTTAAGCTATCATGTTCAGCTTCTCAAATGTACACTATTTATATTGTGGATCCTCTATATTGAAGCTCATCATAGCATCAAACCATCCCCCCCCCCAAGATTCGGATGTGAGATGTTGATCAGCTTTATCATTTTTGTTGTATATTTTTGCTTGATTTTGTAATCTTTGTTAGAAGTAGCATCAATGTTGAGGCTTTTCTTCTTTAATCTCTCCAAGTCTTTATTGATGTCATACTAGAGAAACAAAAAAAAAATACTCAAAATAAGTACTTTAGCAAATTTAAGTATCTCAAATAGGATGTGTGTGTAGATATATTTTCACAGGGCTAATATATCCCCAAATTGGGAATGGAACTTATGGAGGTCACGCTTTCAAGTAGTTGAAAGTGGCATGTATGTCTTTAACTTTTGCACTTGATCCAAGTGCTCCATGTGTTTGATCCCATAATTGACACCCCTAGGGTGAAGGAACTTGGCATAGCTATTGGATTAGTTTCCTTGGCTATTGTCATGTTTAGTTAGATCTTTTCCTCATTTGTGAGTTCATTTATAATCTTGTTAGCATCTACTTTTGCACAGCTATAATCATATGTGGAAGAGTCATTTTGACTACCGTATCTTCATGTTGCCTACATAAGAAAAATTATATCAATAAAGAATTTAGAGAAGAAATAAGCATACCTATTCATTGAAGTCAAAGCCACAATGAGTATTATACGATCTTTGTCTTTAAACTCTATCACTACAACATCTACTATGACATAGTATCTCAAAATGTCCTCATCAGTTGGAT